AAGTGGGCCAGGGAATGGAGCTGGAGGCAGCTGGAGCCCATAGGCTGAATACGGCTACATAGGGCACCATGACGTTTGGGGCAAGTTGGTGCCCAAAATTTTGCGGTGCCCTACATGTTTATGCGTCTTACCTATTGGTAAGGGGAGACCTTACTCTAGCCCAGGGTTTCCCAACCTATGGGTCAGAACCCAAATATGGGTCACCATTACATTTCAAAATGGTCGCCAAGTGTCTCCCTAGGTGGCTCTGCCCTCCCCCCGTTTTTGAATTGCCTTGGGTCATCAAGTCTTCCTAAATTGTCAAAATGGGTCCTCACCTGGAAAAGGTTGGTAACTGCTGCTCTAGTCACTGGGAGACTCTCTATTAGGAGGAGCTCTTCCTCTCTCTTCTCATTTTTGTGAAGCAGGCACCTAGCTCCAGGAGATGGTTCATGGGAAAGATGCTGTGGAGTGAGGGGGTTTGGGGGGGGTTACCTTCCTCAGCAGCAGGGCATGGGCCACTTGCAGGTACCAGTGTAAGCAGTGAGTTCTCTAACTTGAAATCTTTAAAGCATGATTTGAGGACTTCATTAACTCAGCCAGAGACTAGGGCTACCCTACACTATGAGTTTTCTCAGCAAAAAATATGCTAAGGAGGGACTCATTTGCATGAGTAGCGATTTCATGTGCAAATTTTCTGCCAATCCGTTTTTTCACTGGGGTTTTTGTGTGAAAACAAGCAGTGTGGACGTTTCCTTTTAACGTAAAACCCCCTTTTCCCACAAGATCCTTATGCCCCAAAAAAGGAGGTTTACTGTTCTTGCGGAAAAAGGTTTTTTTGTGAAAAAAGGAAACATCCACACTGCTTGTTTTGCACAAAAACCCTAGCAAAAAAATGGATAAGCAGAAAATATGCAAATGAGATCACAACTCATGCTAATGAGGAACTCATTTGCATATATTTTGCTGAGAAAACTCATAGTGTAGACGTGGCCTAGGGGTTTATTACAGGAATGGCTAGATGAGGTTTTGTAGTCTGCAGCGTGCAGGAGGTCAGACTAAAAGATCATGATGGGCCCTTCTAGTCTAAAATCAGTGAGTCTCAATATCTTTAAAAATTTGGCCTGGACCTAAATCAAAAATAAAGTGCAACATGGTCACTTCTGAATATTTTATATATAGTTACCAACATATTAATAACCTACAAGCATCTTTAAAACAATGTTAAACCAAGAAAACAGAGAAAATATTTACTGTGGTTCCAACCAGCAGCACCGTTCTGAGAAGTAAGTGTTTTGAAACGGTTGGGGGTGAGAAACAGGAAAGCAGATCCAGAAAGAAAATGAGAAGGTTGTTTAGAGAGGGTATGGGACAGTAACAAGGCCCTTCAACATGACTGGTAAATTTCTGAGCATAACCTGGTGGACGGTCAGAGAAGCCCAATCCAAAGGGGTTCAGGACAAAAGTACTTGAAAGAGCTTTTTTTATGGAAAGGAGGAACAATTACTGAAAATGACTGTTTCAGTCCTTATTGCATTAAAGTTTTGTTTAGCCTCTCAAATAAGTGTTCATTTGTTTGTATATTCCTTCCAGGCCTCCTCATTATGCAGAGCCTAACACTTAAAGAACACAATTAAAAAAAACCACTTAAAAAATCTACTTACTGTTTTTGATACAAGGGGGAATATGTCCAAGCCAGAATTTCTGTATTTTTAGACACACAGTTTACTCCAAATAGTTTTATTGTCAAGATTGTTTCATTAGGAAGAGATTTTCTTTGTAGAGGAAAACTGATTCTGAAAGAAAAAGCACAATTTTAAGAAATCTAACATACTTTAACATTGTTATTTGCAGTTACTGCTTTTCAAGTTTTACTGCATCCCACACCACACCTTACTAAGTGTAAGGGGATGGTTAGCCCCTTACTAAAACTCAGTGGGAGTTTTTGGTGGGCCAGCTCCCGGTACCAAAAGGGGAAGGGTCCATGAGAAATCAGGGCCCTGAGACTGACAAACCCCAGGGACAATGGGAAGAGTCCAACACTCCAGCTCAGCCTGACTGACAGATTGGACAGATCAATGAGAGAATTAGAAGGCCAGGTCCTGTGATCTGTGAGAGCTGGGATTTTCTGAGTCTTTGTGAGAAAAAGGGATCTGTGTGAGCTGGGATTTTCTGAGTCTTTGTGAGAAAAAGGAGAGAGAGCTGAGAAGAGCAGCAGGAAAAGCAGTCTGTGTGGAGAGTCAGACGCTCACAACCCAAGGAGCGCAGACCCCGTGCGGAGCAGCAGACCTACAGTGACCAGAGAGCCAAAGGGGTCAGAGAAGCAACATGAGGAGCTGGAGTCTGGCAGCTCACAGCCCAAGGAGTGCAGACCCCGTGCGGAGCAGCAGATCTACAGTGACCAGAGAGCCAAAGGGGTCAGAGAAGCAACATGAGGAGCTGGAGTCTGGCAAAGCAGCACAGTTTGCAGCTGGTTGTGGTGAGCAGCTGGGACCAGCAAAGTGGGGGGAGAGGCTCTGGGCAGGGAGGCACCACCAGCCAAGAGGCCTTGCAGGCCAGACTGGGAGAGGGGTCCTGCCAGAGCAAGCCTGCAGCTCCCCTGCAGCACAGCCAGGGCCTGAGAAAGAGCCATGGGACCTAAAAGGAACAGACTGTGAACTGTCCTTACACTCTGCAGACTGCTGTTTGTGATGTCCCCATGCTACAGAGCAGGACTACGTGTTCTCATTTAACCTTTTTCATTTCTCCTTATTCTTTTCTTATTAATCAGTTGTTTAATAAATTGTATTTGCTTTGAACTGTATGAAATGATCACTGAGTCAAGAAAGCCTGCAGTGTGCAGAAAGCACCCCGGAGTGGGGACACGCTAGCCCCTGCCCCAACTGACTGCAAGGTCAGGGATTAAGCCCCAGGAAACCTGGGTCCGGCCTTGTTGGGATTTTGAAGACTCTACTACTCAGGAGAGTGGAGGGGGAGCCCTCAGGGTCAGGGAGGCCTTTGGGTAAAGGAAGTGGGAACGGGGACTCAGATCCTTTCTCTGGTCCATTTCACCAGGGTAGTATAGAAGCCAGGAAAGTTCCCCACAATAGTGGGACCATTCCCCCTCTTACATAAGGAATGAACTGCAAGGTGGCAATTCCTTAGGGGAAAATGCAATTGACAGATCTAGTCAACATTCTGCCCAGATAGTTACAAGATTCCCAACAGTTAACCTGAGATCACATGGCATGAGAAAAAGGCAAATAAAATCTTGTTCATCCAAATGATCAACCACTAGGAGGAGGGCAGGGCAGGACAAGCTTGGTTGTCGCTAAGGCAATAATTAGAAAGCACATTCCAATAAACAGTGAATGAAAAATGGATTATAAACTAGTGGTAATGGGTTAAATTCCCCATCACATGTATATACACATCTCCCCTTGAAGTTACTCTGTGTGTGTCTGTTTTAGTATTTATCAAGAGACGATTCCATTCCCTAATTCATTCATATATCACAAATGTGTAACTTTTTTTCAAAGCAGTTTAAAGGCAGGTGTGGGTTTAAAAGCAACATCTGTCAATTTTAAAGCAAGTTACAGAAACTAGTGTCCACTTCAGGTTTGCATTGCTCATTAGAAGTATACTGACTGATTAAATTATTGCCATAGTTTTTATGACCTGATTTAAAATGTCAGTTAACACTAATTTTAATAATTGAGATATTTTCATACCTGTGTAAAAAAATCTGAGTCACTAGTTCAGAGATGTACAAAATATTATACAAAGTATATTATATTTTCACTGAAAATTTTGGTGCAAAGCCATTTTCCGAGGTGAAAGATTGTGTTCAAAAGTATATCTTTTATTTTCACTGAAAATTTTGGTGCAAAGCCAGATTTTGCAAAAAGATATTGAGATGAAATGTATTTCTTTCACAAACAAAAATCAATATTCAGAATCCAAGGCTAAAAGAACTCTTGTGCATAGGTAGTACCAGATTTTTAGAAAATGAAGATCTGAACCATCCTGAACATTAAAAACTATATAAATCTAAATGAAACTGAGTAAACATTTTCAGCATTCTAGATGTTTTAATGAAATGATGTAGTTGTAGGTGTTCTCAAAAGTGTATTCTGCGAATAAATCTAGGAAGCACTAATGGAATTATTTAACAGTCAGGAAAACATAAGGATTAGAAGTAGCAAGGGGTAAGGTGGCAGGATTATGTAGAATTTACACGCAAGGTAAAAATTCCAGTGTCAATTGCATTATTATAAATCTGGCATAACTGATTTCAGAAGACTTTATCTGAAGGCATACTGGAATAAATGAGAGAAGAACATAACATCTGTTGAGATTTCCATCTACCCCAGACTGGTCCTGAACTTTCTAATCATCAACCCCAAACATTTTTGGGTGATTAAGCCAGCATTTAAATCCTGCCACTCCCCAACTACAGTAATTCCTCATTTAACATGGTAGATGCGTTTCAGAAAATGATGGTGTTAAGTGAAAACGTGTTATGCAGGGTCAATTTTCCCATTGAAAATAATGGAAAAGGTGGGGGTTGCGTTTCAAGAAGTGGACAATGGGGAAACCCAGCCGTCGTCCTGCAAGCTGGGTCAGAGGAGAGGAAGCAAGGCGTCTGGCGAGAGGGGGTCTCTGGGGAACGGCGTGACAAGCAGCGAACCCTCCGCCGCTTTGAAGGGAGGCAGGGGAATCCCTGCGCAGCCGCCAGTGACAAGCTGGCTGGGGAAACCCAGCCGCCGGCCTGCAAGTGGGGGCGGAGGAGTGGGAGCAAGGTGTCCGGTGAGAGGGGGCTGCCGGGGCACGGCGCGGCAAACCCTCTGCTGCTTTGCAGGTAGGTGGAGGAAGCCCCACGCAGCCGCCGGCAACCAGCTGGCTGGGGAAACTGTGTTATTTTGGGAACGGTCATGTTGTTCAAAAAACGTTCCCCGAAAAAATCGTGTTATCGTGAAAACGTGTTAAGTGAATAATTACTGTACTGCACATCCCCTCCTTTTAATAAAGAAAACCATCTATATTCCGTTATTTCAGTGTAAAGAGCAGTCTAGTTCCAAAGAAATTAATATGCATCCACCTGCCTTTCCAAACATCCCTACTTATTGTTTCCAGACAATGACTGATGCACTATTTTTTGTTCTCTCTTCCAGAACTTAGTGCATTTCAAGAAGTGATGAGAAAGCAGCCTGTTTTAAAAATCTCCAGATCAATTTTATTTCCTGTTGTGGCAAGTCTGGGCTAAGCCCCCTGGATCCTGTGCTTCCTGGCAGGTCTTTACGTGTGCCTCAGAGACTCGCGGGGTCCCTACCACTGCCAGGAAGGCAAGGGCACCCTACTCCAAGAGCCCTTTTCATCATTGTCCAGTCTGGGGTTTTGGAGGTCAGTCCCTCCAATAGTTCACAGGGTTCCCCTTTTTCCTTACTGGCAGCCCAACCAGCAAGGAAAAGGGTTGGTGGGAACCTGGTCCCACCCATTTGCTCCGGGTTCCAGCCCAGGGTCCTGTAGGGGGTAGCCCTGAGTGGGCTGTGGGGTTTGGCCCTTGCCCCACTGAATGGCGGCCCTCCCTGGGTATGTCCTCCCTGAAGCCTTAGAACAGACCCTGTTGCTGGCTGCCTTGGGTCTGTCTCCTGTTCTGCTTGGCTTGGCTTCTCTTCACTTCTCCTCCAGTCTGTCCCTTTTCTCTTCCCCCTTGCCTTGGCCGAGGGAAAGTTTTTATTGTGTGCCCATAGCCTTAACTGTCAGCAGGGGATCTAATTATTCCACCCTCCAGGCTGACTCCAGATGGGCTTCAGCAGGGGATCTAATTATTTCACCCTCCAAGCTGACTCCAGATGGGCTTCAGGTGTCCTAATGGCAGGGCTGCAGTCTCTGGAAGCCTGCTCCAGGAACATAAACCCACACACCCAACTCTCCACATAAGTGCCTTCCAGTGGCCTTCTGCAGCCTCCTGATCTCGGCCTGCCACACTGTCCTTTCATTTGCAGCCCATCAATTCCATTTATCCTAAACAAAGTGATCCTAAAACATGGGCACTCAGTCTTAAACATCTTAAAAGATCTGATGCAAGGTGGGAAGGGAGGAAGCTCTGCACTATATTATATAGGAGATAAAAGATTACTCATAAACCAGGCAACCACCTTCACAGATGCCGGGAGCTCTCATTACTCTTGTAACCAAGTGGAAAAAATATCCCTCATATTACAAGATATAGATTCTCAACTTCTCTTTTGCTGCAGGCTTCACTTGGACTTTGTCATGATAAAATACATAGCACTACTGAAAGCAGGAATTTAAGAAAGCTATATCAAGTGCAGACTTTAATAATGGCTGGAGTATCAGTCAACTGAAGCCCACAGATCAAATCCAGGACCTTATTGCTTATCAGGAAAATGTTAAGTGATTTAGGCTGTGTACAGAACATGGGAGATAACAATATTACTTAGAAATATTCTGTGTATACCTCAGTTTATCTGCTTCATATTGTTCTGTCTGATGATGTGGATTAAATAAAAAAAAAAAAGGACTGTCAAGAACAATAAATAGGAAACAAAGCAATGGCCAGAGATTAATCAGATCTGCATAAACATCCAGGGTGTTAAGTGAACAATTAATTAGGAGATGTCATTTCCATGCAAATTATACAGTCAAGGCCCTGGATTTAAGATCAACCACACTGAACAGCTAAAAACTCCCTCTCTAGAGATGTAGCGGGAATTCAGCTATCAGCTTCTGGGGAGCTACAGAGGAATGGCTACATAGGCCCTATGATATGGGTCTGCATTAGTGAGGCTTCCCAAAGATGCCAGGGAAATTACAAACTTTAAGACAGACCCAGGCATGTAGGACTTCTGTTTTAACCCTTTTCTCTGACTGAGAGATTTGGAGTAACTTCAGTCACCAGCTTGTCACAAAGTTCCAGGAAAAAAAGTTTCTTGCAGGAGCCAAATGCAATTGGGAAAAGGGGGAGGTGGGGAAGAGGCTGCAATTAAGAGATCTAGTCAAAGAATAGTTTAACTCTAGGGCTCTGCTCTTGAATGACCTGAAGGAAGCAACTGTCATCTGAGAGGCGCACTTTAGAGGGACTATAAAAGGCCCAAGTCATAGCTTGCCCTATCATCATGACACACTGCAACCTTCAACTGCTAGTAATTTGAAAGTTCACCTCTTATTATTTGAGGTCATAGCTCAAACTTTAAAAGGTATAGTCAAATGCAAAACCTTATTTTAGACCTAGGAGGAAATAGGATTAGCAGCCAATGGTGATTGTGGTTGGAGAACTGGGCACGGGAGGAAAAAGGACCCAGACCTGACAAGGCGCTGCAGTGCAGAGGGTGATTAGGACTGCTTGGGCAAGTAGCCAGGAGCAGGGAAGAGAGGGACTGACTGGAAGAGATTGGAGAAGATGGGACAAGTGAGGGAAAAGAAGCAGAAGGCTCTGTGCCCTCTAGAGGATGCCCTTTTCCAGAGAGTGGAATAGAAATCAGGATTCCAGAACCTCACCAATTCTTCTGCTGTCAGCAAATATCTGTAAAACACACTGGCAAAGTATGTCTCACCCCTGTCCTATGCCAGCCCATATAAGAATGGCTAGCTACTATTACTATAAGTTACTCCATGAGTGCACATGCAGAGGTCTGTAGTGACTCTAAAGCAGGGGTCTCCAACTCCCAGCCTATGCACCATCCACAGTCAGAGCACTTGTGCAACCTGTCCCGGGAATCCTGGAGGGGCAGGAAACAGGGGCCTGTCCATTTCTGTTTCCTTTGCCTTCCTTCCATCACCCCACCTTCTTCCCCTCCCTGGCACTCCATCCCTGAGAATGAAGCTTTGGCTATCTCCAGGGTAGGGCGCTGGCATGAGGAAGCAGTAGCAGCTGAGCTCCTCCACACTCCCCGCGGTGGCAGAAGCTGCAGGGAATTGGAGCGCAGCAGAGTGACCGCTGCTGCCTCCCTATGCCAGGCCCCTCCAGTGATGCCCCAAAGCACGTTCTTGAGGGACGGGGCCCACGATGGAGAGAGGGCAGGGCAATTGTGAGACGAGGAGGAGCTTGGGGGGATGGTAATGGACAGTAATTTAGCCCTCTAGGATTCCTAGGCCAGTTTCTGCAAGTAGTCTAGCCAGGGATAGCCCACGGGCCTGGAATTTAGCACTCCTGTTCTAAAGTCTCCAACACTGATTATAATCAATTTGGGTATCAACATAATTAAATTGTTTTTATTCAATTAAAAAACCCTGGAAGCTAAATACAAGAAGCTAAATTAAAAGAACATTAAGGCTGAAGATGGGGTGACACAATCTTTTTACTGGGACATCTTCTGCTGAGAAGTTTCTTGCTGTGAGAGATGGGTCTCTGACACCTGGAAAAAAATCTTCTCGGGTAAGTGCAGATTTTCTGAGATGCATATAAGAAATATGACTATTTCTTAGACAGTCAAGAGTTCCCACAAGAGACCTATTCACCCGATGCTTCCCAAGCTGCACTTTCCTCATTACTTTTTTGAACTGACTGAAAATGGAATCACTGGCAGGCCACAAATCAAATCAGAATCAGCTCTCTTTTAATAAAAGGACAACTCTGTTTTGTTCTTTTCTCCTTCAGATACAGCTGATTCTTACCCTTTCACATGCATTAGCAAATAATTTCCTTTGTTTTCCAGTTAAGCAAAGAAAACGGTATTCAAATGGAGACCATAATTGAAAATAAATACAGAAAAAAGAATAATGGAAGGAGAACGATTGTGCATTTTAACCAGCATTTGTAGACGTACAAACAGTGAGCATTGTAGTTCTCTCCTTTAGTGCTGACAACATCTTTAACACCAAAAATCAAGCAAAAGAAAAAAAAACACAATTGAAATGTCATGATCTTATGTCTGCTTAATTTTGTTGTCCAATAGGATACTTACAGCAACAACAGGGCCTGCCATTGTGAGGAATACAAAGGAAAAACCTACTATGGGTTATTACGTTAGTCCTATAATATCGGAGTATAGAATCCACGTTGCTCCAAATGACTTTCCCTCTGCCCTCCAAAATGGCTACATCTAAGAGGTTTATGATTTTCTTCTGGGGAATCTGATTGGTCTGTTGTGCACAGCATCATTACTTGCTCCTGAGCATGTGAACAAGGGGAGGAATAAACTGCAATTTAAACCTATCAAACCACATTCTCTACCACAGTAAGGTAACTATTGACCTTTTTAATTGCTATCATTTAGGGGTGTGAAGGGTCAACTGGTTTACTGCCAAGCCTCATTCTTAACAGGTGAGGCTTACCAGTTAAGGTTCACTGGTGGGGCTGGCACAGTTTCCCGCCTGCTGTGGGCAGAGTTTGGCTTCAGCCCCACGGACAGGGGCCGCTCACCTTACTTTAGTTGGTTAACTGGATAAACAATATGTTTAACCCATTAGCCAATTAAATAGGATTTTACATCCCTATTATCATTATACACAGAGAGGTGCACTTCACTTACTAATCCCTAGAATCTATTTGCATACAAGGGTACATCCATGCACAAAGGCATCTTGTGGCCCACAATTTGTGTCTGAAATGCAAGATAATGACAGATTAGAGAGTATGTCCAGGTATCAATTTTTATCATCATACAGGTATATTTAGAACATTATTACTACCTGTGAAATCAGTTGACACCTTCTCTAAAGGACACCTTCCCTCCTCGCCCTCCCTCCCCCATTGTTAGAATCTAACATTGGTTGTGTAAAGTGAGGAAGACTAGCATTGTTCAAATGAAGATTAAAACTTACTTCTCATTCCAGTTTGCCAGGGGAAAAAAAGACTTTTTAACTGGTATATTTTTGCAATTTTTCATTTGGCATATTTTCTTCCCAGCATACGTTAAAGAACAGGAAAAAGAAAAAGCTTTGTAGCTACAAAGAAAAAGAAATGTAAATGATTAATTATAATTTAACATACCTTATAGGTGAAATTTGGAGTTAGTTATTCAGAATGCTCTAAGGCTCATCTTTATAGACAGAAGTGAAAAAATAAGGATCATGTTAGTATTAACACTGCATTTTTACATCAAAAGCTAAATATAGGACACTTCCAGCCCACTTCATTAGCACCGGTCTTACAATTGACAGGTATCTTTTTTTCCCCCCGTTATAAATAACTTAGTTTCTGTTATTTCTGCTCTGGCTCATCATCTGATGAAGTGGGTTTTGCCCATGAAAGCTCATGATACTATTGTGACGGCGCGTTGGGGTTTTCCCGTCTCCTGCACCCCCGTAATGGCATGGACAGACTCCACCAGCCAGTAGAATAGAGGGAGGTTATTGCTTCTCCACGATATAGCACAGCATAGACATGATGTGGACATAAGGAGTCAGGGGCTGGCAGCCCCGGCCCCCTCGGGTAAATCCCAGCCCGTTGCCTAGGCTGCTTCCTCCATGAAACCAGCTAGAAACCTCCCTGACTCACTTCCAGCCCTGCCCCCAGCCAGGGCTCCACTCCCCTTCTTCCCATTGTTCCGCTCCCTGGGAGATAACTTGTCAGACAGGTTTGAAGCCCCCTTGAATAATGACTCATCCCCTGCCCTTCTGGGCCGTGGAAGTCACTCACAGCCCAAGCCTAGCAACCAGCAAGGTATCCACACTACGTCACAACTAAATATTTGTGTTAGTCTCTAAGGTGCCACAGGACTATTCATTTTTCAAGTTAGAGATTAACACAGCTACCCCTCTGAGACTTTATTCCTTTAAAGTCAGGATTCAGTCTGTAACCATCCATTATTGACCTAGCCTAGTCCTTTACCACCGGAATCAGTGTTTCACCACTGACTTTCAGGTGCACAGGATCAGGTCTCCATTGTGTAATATTGGGCAACAGTAAACCTCTTTGTGCCCAAAGTTTCACTTCTTTAAAGATGATGATAATGCTTACAGAGTTGTGTAATTACTACCGTGTGTGTTTGTGTGTGTGTGTGTGTGTGTGTGTGTGTGTGTTTATCAGTGACAGTAACTCATCTGCTTGGGCTTAGATTATGGTTGAAGTTTTGGGTTCAAAACAGTTTCAGGGCTGAGGTTTGGTTTCAGATTCAACATCATTGAAATCATATGCAATATTAGCCCCAAACAGTGAAATATAAGAATACCTGCTCTTGAAAGCTTTCTGCCTTCTTTCAAAACACTGTCTCCTTCCAGTCTGATTCTGAGGAAGAACTACAGGCATAGCATAAAGCAAAGTAGTCAGATTTGGACAGCAAATCTGAAGGGGGTTGGCGACTTGAGCCTCCTATTTTTGCCTTCTTCATAAGAGTCATTGTTGATCTTTTCCAGAATATTAATTATTATAGAACACAGATTTCTGTTTAGCTGAGGGGGATAATCAACATAGAGAACTCCACGAAGAAAAAAGGATGCAATGGTTATAGCTAATAGGACTTGCACCTGGTCTGAACATGACAATAATGACATTCATACTTTACCTTACAATTAATATCTGCCATTGTAACATTGTGAACCAGAAAATAAACACCGACAAGACAGAGCCCTGGATTTTATTGTATACATTGCAATAGAACACTGTAAGCTCTAAGGCCTCCTTACTAGAAAGAATTATATTTAACTTTAAATGCTGTGAATAGTTTAATTTAAGTCAACAGGACTGATTACAGTGCATTAAGCTAAAATCTTTGCAAGACCAGGGTTTAAATTAGGCAGATACAGACAACACGGAAAGCATAGATAAAATTAGAGGATAAGAGGCGGAAAGGATAACAATAAACAAGATGTAATTTGCGTCATTATGTTGTTCTGTAACTTGTAAGGTTCTGTACATTATCTATTTTAAGAAGTAAGTCTAGGAATGCAGAATCCGTAGCTCAGAGGTGAAAGTCAGTGATAGGAATCCAGCCAGCACAAGTGTGTTTTAAGGAGAAATTGGTGGAAATGAGGCTTGTTTTTCCTAGAATAGGAAAAATTCCAGGTGTAGTAGGAAGCAGGAGGCAGAAGGAGCTCCCAGTCTAGGAGAAGACATGGGACAGGCAGACAAAGGAAGCAACAAAGAAGAGAAGAACTGCAGGAGTATAGGGTTCAGGGTTGTGAACAGGCAGAAGCAAGGGCTGAGATGTGATGGCCAGAATTGTGTAGTGTCAGAAGAATTAATGAGAAATCTGAATGTGAAAAGAGACAGGGAGTCAGTGAAGGCGCCAGAGAAAGTTAGGTATGAAAGGAAAACTATTTTAGCTGCTGACTGTTGGAAAGATTTGGAAAGAAAAATGGTTCTCATTTTCTCATAAGTCTGTGTATTGAGATGGAGCTCATGTGATCAGCAGCCTCTAGATCATGTGTAATTTCACATCTTCATGCTAAAATCTTAAAATAAAACACACTGCAAACAACACAACCATCTTCAGAATCAGAGCAGTGATTATGGCTTCGGTAGCTATTACCTTCAGTAATGCAAATTTTCTGAAATTTGTATTAAACTGCTCATTATCACTAAATGCTGTATAGCACATTCCTTTGCTAATGTTCTAGCACAAATTATCCCACTGTGTTTTAATTAACCATCTGAAATTCAAGCGAAAGTGGGTGCCTGGGAAAAACATTAATAAAAATCTGGAAAATAGCATGTCCCATTGCAACAATAACACTGCTAGACAGTAGTCATCTGACCATCTCTTGATTGCTATGGTGTGGTGAGGGGAAAGTGTTCACTTTACAATCAAGTCAGAAACCCAGCCATATGAAAATACACTAATTAAACAAATAAATAGTGTCGCAGAGATTATTTTCATTATAATTTTCCCCATTTTACTAAAGGTGTCTCCCTCTGTTTTTCTCTGTGGTGCTTAATGTGCCAGATAAATTCTATAAAGCTACAGATGTATTTAAACATCATCTGTAAATAAAAATGGTCACTGAATAGGCAGAGCCCAGTAACAGTGGTTTAAAACCCATCTATTATAAGTGCCATTATTAAGGTCAAATTCAGTGCTGTAAGCAGGTGCAGTGTCAGTGACTCAGCAAGATGGCTGAGCCACTCATTCTGCAGGGTTCACATGCACCCTTGCCACAGCCCACTCTGTGGGCAGGTAGGAAAGCCCTCTCTCCCATTTTTCTACAACCCTATCTCTTGTCAGCTATCTCTCTGACACACACTTGTCAGGACAGCTACCCACCCTGCTTCTGTCCTCTCTCACACACTTGTCTAGTGCAGATGCCTAGGTTGCCTCTTGAGACCTCCACCTATGCTCCCCTACCTATCATGCACCAAACAGATCCTATCTTTGGTGAAAATGGGTGCCGCTTCCTGGAAAATAATAAGAGTTGCCTCTGTTTAGCCTAGATCTGAATTTGACCAATGCTTTTATATTAGCAACACAAAACAACTCGGTTCACATGCAGGAACTAAGCAGTGCAACTAACTGTCATGTGTGTGAAGGAAAGAAGCCCTTCTAAAGAGAACTACTGGCACTTCCTACCTTTTCAGCCAGGCTGCGGGGATGTTGTGGGCTGCATAAACAGTGAAGCTAAAGTGGGGATCTACATCAACCGCCACGCATGAAGAGCTTCTAAGTATTTTTGCAGGCTGAAAATCCGTGTGAAAGCTTCTGCTGAAAACATAGATGAGATGGGAGATGGCTGCAGACAGCTCTGTCACAGCATTCTCTATCAAGACTGGAGGAAGGGAAAGAAAGATTAGCAATTGATTATTGGTAAAGAATCATATTTATTATGAGTTATTAATTATGGCTTTGAAATTATTCCTATTAAAGGTATTAAAATGTACTTCAGATACTTTATTCCAGTGTTTTAATTCCCACTCTGTGAGGATGTTTATTATGTTTTCTCCAGCTAAGCAAGTATTTACTTCAGGAGACCTGGCAATAAAATAGAAGAGCAGAGAACTCTAAATATGCTCCTTTCTTGTTAAAGCTGTTTTAGAGCTCCTAGAACATGCAGATATGGTTGAATGTAATTCTGTGGAGCCTAGAAGAAAACAATGAAACGCTTAGTATGGAAATTACAAAACTGTTTACAGGAGTTACAGGGACATTCCAGTGGCCTAGGGGCTAGGAAAAAGACCCATAAAAAAGATGCAGACAATACAAAAGGAGGATCAATGGAGAAGAGAAGCCAATAAAATAAATGGATAGGAAAATGGAGAGCAATTAAAAAAACAGAGCAGTATCAACGCAATTAGATTAAAGTGCAAGTTAAATATTAATACTATGCCATTACTGCCACGTGTATTGTGGGACACACATAGTAATTTATTAATATAGAGTACAATTGTTTTCAGACATACAACAGATAATGGCTCCAATTCTCTATTGTTTTGCTTCTGTGACTTTTAGCAACATTTGCATTCTTCATATTTCTGAGGGCAAGATGTAAATTGGAGCCCCAACTAGATGGGCTGAAATAGAGTGGTATGAAGGGATCTATGTTAGTTTTTCTGGTGGCTCCTGGAGTAGGGGGCATGTGATCAAAGAAGGGAGACAGAGTGCAATGTGCTGGGTACTACTGGTTAATCTAGAACAGTGGTCAGCAACCAGTAGATGGGGATCTACTGGTAGATCTTGGAGCCTCTGACAGGTGATCCTGACTGGTTTGGCCAGGAGGCTATCAAGTGCTGGCACTTCAACTGCCCCAAGGAGCACTGCCCTGCTGCTCCTGCCCTCTGCCTTGGAGATGCCCCCCTCTCCTACCTATGGGAGCTTCCTGCTTCCTGTGCAGGGGATGGAAAGAAGGGAAAGGGGGATATTGATCTCAGGGTGCCCCTCGCTCCACTCTGTACCCCGCCTCCACAGACCAGAGGGGGGCAGGGATAGAGAGAGTTTGCTGGCTGCTTTTGGGAGTGGTGCAGGGCTAGGACAGAGGTGAGCCTGCCTTGCCCCTTGCCCCACCTCTCAAAAGCCATCTGTGGTAAGTGGTGTCCAGCTGGAGCCTGCATTCTGAACCCCGGCCCCAGTCCTGAATCCCTCCTGCACCCCAAACTCCTGCCCCCAGCTTGATAGAAGTGAGTGAGGACTGGGGAGAGAGGATGGAATGAGCAGGGGTGGGGCTTCAGAGGAGGGGCCGGAAGGAGGCGGGGCAAGGGTACTTGGGTTTGAGGTAGATCCTCGATTGCACTTATATTAAAAAAGTAATCTCATGCTTTAAAACGTTGGAGACCACTGATCTAGAGGTTGTATGCTTTAAAATACACTAAGGTTGCCCATGTCTTTCTTCCCACAGTTCCCCTAACTTCCCAAGGTATGTGGGTAATTAAGAATAGTCCACCTATTTCACTAAGGTTGCCCATGTCTTTCCTCCCACAGTTCCCCTAACTTCCCAAAGTACGTGGGTAATTAAGAATAGTCCACCTATTTCTAATGACTCTCAGAGTGGCCATTATAGGGTGCTGCAGCTGAAGACCGAAGGATCCATAATATATCTATTTGCTTAATACTGTAGTACAGGGTAAATAGCTGCTTGATCCAAGTTAATTTTCTTCCCTGAAGTGAGAGGATCAATATTTCTTCCAGTTATATTACAGAGTACATGCAGATAATATTAAGGTTAATATACATTTCTAAACCTGTCAGTAATTTTGTAAGATTTTCAAAATCTGAATAGGATAAACATGCACATATTTTAATTAATATTTGATTATTTCCCTACTGCAATAAGTGCTTGAAATCTGGAATTTTTAGGTGAATGGTAACATTTCCCAATCTCATCGCAATTGCAGTAATTTAACTGACTGTATTTTAAAAGCATGTCACTGTGATCTTATCTTAAAATAACTGCGACCATTTGCTCATACAGGACCTGTAAATTACAGAGTTGGTGTGTCTAAAATAAATTGAGATGGTACATTATAATTCCATTTGTTGTAGGAGAGCTGCAGAATGGATTGTGGAGACCTGATATGAATACCAAGCAAGAAAGATGGTGCCAGTCAGGTTGGCAGGTTGCAATCAATTCTAAAATATCCAGAGAGGTCATACAAAATACACTAAATTCTACACTTCACAGATGCAGTACCCTCCAAAATTATTGCACCCTTCTTGTCTCAGACAAAATAAGAGTTTAAAGTTCAACTAGACATTTTCATTATATCTTATCTCACTGCTTGCCCCAACACAAGTGTGCACAGGTAAGGGGGTCAGAGTATATTATGCCATCTATGGTCCTGATTCAGCACTTTGGTAGGTGCTCAATTGTAAGCATATGTTAAAGTCCCTTTGAAGTTAATGAGCCAGTGTAAAAAGAGGCTAAGTTAAGCTCAACTGGAAATTATACATGACAGGTGCCAACTTGTTTTACCTTTCATTCCTAGAATGATATCTACAAATCACACTTCCAGAAAAGAATGACTAGAACACTGCTTTTTGTGGTGTTGGGAACGGCTTTTCCAGATCTGAATAAAGAATACATTTATAGTTTGATGGCTAACAAAACTCTCTTATAATGCACTTCAATCTCATTTTGTTTATACTTCTCTCCTCTGCTCTTTTTCTTCTCCTGCTCTCCATTTTCCTATTCATTTATCCTCCTTTAGAACAGCCTGCATCTTTTCCTGGGACCTTTTCCTATCCTCAAAGTCACTTCTATGTCCCTGTAACTCCTGTAAACAATTTTGTAATTTCCATACTAAGCCTTTAATTGTATTCTTCTGGGCTCCACAGAATTACATATAACCACATCTACATGTCCTAGGAGCCCCAATACAGATTTAATGAGAAAGGGGACTATTTAGAAATAAAGAAAAAGTTGTTTTATTATACAAAGCCAATAGCTCTCTTGTGCCAGAACAGTGTACATAAATCCAATTGATCTGAAATGGATTAAATTGAGTGAGAGTTTGTGAGCATTCAGTCAACAGCTCCCTGGATGCAATTATTTAGTGAAGACCAAGGCTTTTAATTTGTCCAGAGTAGAAAGTATGTACAGATAGTCCCTGGCTATCTGCAGGCAGTCCCACTGAAGTCAATGGCTGCAAGATAAAGCCAATAATAACAATTCACCAAAGGTTTTCCTCATCTCTTTGTAAAATATAGTGAAATGTAGCTCAGAAGCATGTTAAAATGCCAACTACAACCTCAGTTTGTTGAAATATGTCTTGTGGGTTTCATTGTTTCTTACATAGTTCCACACTGAAAGTGGTAGGACACTGGTTCAATCAGAACAGGAAAATATTTTTTAAATGACAAGTATCAAAAGAATCATAGATAAGCTTTCAGATACTGGACTTCTCAGTTACATTCTTATGTACATTGTGACTGTTGAAGGAATATGAAGGGAGCAGACAATATAATGGAGCTAAAATATGGCACTCTGCTAGGGCAATATGTGTACACTAGCCTTGCTATGCTACCATGAAAACTTACTAGCATATGCACAAAATACGCTCTTATTATGACTGTGGTGATAGATATTCTACAGGACAGAAGAATTACCCATACCAAGATAGTTGGTGAATAGTAATGTACAACAATATATTATAGCCCAGATTATACTGTTCACTAACCTAATTTTGCAGAACAGTAGATGTGATAAGTCTCTAAAATGAATCAGAATACAGAGTGCTCCAAACAAATTAAAGAATGAACCCTGGTGTATCGTCTACCACGACTACTTAGTGTCTTACTATATTTTGGATGTTCATTTGAATTCCTGAAAATAGCAGGTATACTCTTTTCTTGACATCAAAACCCAGGCTGTAACTAGGGAGGAATAAATGCAAAGTCAAAGGAGTGGAAAAATTAGATGGGAAAAAATGGCAAAGGTTGCAAATGTGCTTCCTCACTTTGGGAGCTAAAATGGCAAGTTATAGCATGGTTAAAACCCACTGATCTTGATTTATTTACTACTGTGAGTCCTCAACTTAAAATCCCATTGCAGCTTTTGAGACAAATAAGGCTGTTTCTTTCCACTCCTCATTCATTAAGTAAGACTAAGATTAACAAAACTAGAGACACAACTATCTTGGCAGGCTTGTAAGTGTCTATTATTCACAATGGCTGGGCAAAATCTTTTCCAGAGGATTTGGTATACTGTGCACTATTGTTCATGAAGCCAAATACACCAATTGCTTTTTGTGATTCATGGATTTTAAAGCCAGAAAAGACAATTATGCTCAGCTAGTTTTAACAAGTGCATAATACAGGTTGTAAAAAGGTCATCCAGTAATTCCTGTGGATTCATAACTTCTGCCTGATCTAAAGCCAGCATCCAATCTTGATTTAAAGACTACAAGTGATGGTGCAAACCATTTCATCCCTAGGCAAATTTTTCAAATGGTTAATTACTCACTGTGGAAAATCTGTGCCCAATTTCTAGTCTGAATCAATTTAGTTTTAAGATCTCAGCCACTGTGATGTGGATAATGGGACGTGGACTCAGAGTATACATGAAAAAAATTAAACTTATGCAAAGCTCTCCACAAAAAACATGAATCCTTGCACACGCTCTGTTAACACAAAGTATTTCTCCTCTGGTCAGCAAAATTAAGCAAGCAATTTAGTAACTAAAAGTGTTGATCTTACTCCTGCAGCATACACTTCTGAGACATTGAAAAACAAGGAATAAAATAAGTTAGCATCTTTATTTCTTTTTATATTTTATGTGGTTTTCATTTTGGACCTTCTGTCAGGGCAAGCATTTTGTTGTTGTAGATCATGTCAGTTCAATACATGTTAAATATGCTCTCTGTACTTTTGTATACACATGCCCCCCGCTCCCAATCCTAGTTACTACCTGATCATTGTTTCAATGGCTGAATGGAATATCAGAAAAGAAAAGCTTCATATTTCTGTGACACCTGACAGCTAATGTAATGAACTTACCATCCACCTAGTAGTTAAAGAAAAAAGAGCAAGCCCCTGAAATTTGTAAACCAATGAATTTCACTAAGACACAGTTAAGGTTATAGTGCTATTTAGAACACTGTAGTGGTCACAAAAGGCAGGAAGTTAAAAGGTTGTGATCCAGAAAGCTCCAGAAAATAAAAAATATTTTGTTTAGAGGTGGGCAAACTTTTTTTTTCTGCAAAATTTGCAGATTCACTGACAATGAAAATGCTTTGAGTTTGAGTTGCTTTCACTGAATTGTTCATTATGAAAAAATTAACACTTTGCTTCAATATTTTAGAAACTGCAGCATTTTGATTTTTGTGTCAAAGTGATGTTTTCTTTAGACACAGACTTTAACTTTATAAAAAATGGAACCATGAAAAAACTCAAAAATCAAAACAAAATGTTCAGTCCAAAACAATTTTTGCTTAATTTTGTTTCACACACACACACACACACACACACACACACACACACACACACACACATAAGTGGAGTTTAAAAAGGTTTGTTTTTTCCCAATTTTTCATTAAAAATGGAAATTTTCCACTGAAAAGGTTTTTTTAAATGCTTGTGAAAAATGCTTATAATTTTCTGATCAATTCTAGAAATAATAGTTAAATTCCAAAACAAATGTGTCAGGCGTTATACCTTTAGTAGGTCCAGAACTTCTATAATCCTCAAAAAGTGGGGATATCTATTTTACATTTCCTCCAAAAGATGGCACCTTTAGTGGCACACATAAAAGACATTTCCACTTTAAAACCACCTCTTTATGGTGCACAGATGGCCTTTGGGAAAGTCAGTACTTGGTTGGAGACAAACTATTAAGGCTGCGTGTTCTTTCAGATATGACAAGTACTAGTTTCTGCATACTCTAATAATATATAAACCACTAATCCATTAGGTCTTCACAGAAGACATGCTGGATGAGTTTTGTATAAACTTGTTTCTGTCTATCTGCCCATAACCTGGATAAAAAAAAAATCATAATGCAAAATCTTTATTGGAATCGAATAATCCCATTCTTCATTTCATGGGAACACCCAGTTCTGCAGACAGGTGGGAAGTCTAGAAATGATTATCTTTTCCCATAAGGAGTTACAATTAATTCCAGAAAAAAGTTTAATAAAAATAGCTTACAAAGATAATACAAATAGCATCACCTGACTGAATTCTATGATGCCAACAAGTTCTGACAAGATCTCACTGCATTCAGTAAGGTGCAGTTCCTAAGGGTACATAACAGAATGGATTCTGCATTGCTTATGAAATTAAGGGTGTAGTCAGAACAAACTGAACAGCCTTCAACAGAAAAAGCCTGAGCCTTTTCTGAAATAAGTAAAAGGGTGTAGACAAGTAAACAGGCAAAACTCTGTTAGACATCTACAAGGCTCCTCAATACATCAAACAGATGTTCTTTGAGGGAAGTGCTGACTCAATAAAGCCTAAGCTTGCAAATAGGCTTATATAGAGGAATGGTTTAAATTTTTACCACAAACATGTTTTCAAGTGCACATGGAAGAAGATGTATAATGGAGTCGCTGATAATTAGGAGCTATTAATTTCTTTCATGTTTAGCAAAATGTTCCCATAACTCAAGTTGAACAAAGCTCATGGGAAAAGCATCTTTTCAAGGGGAAGGAATTCCACAAACCATAGTTGCCTCCTTTCCTTGGCACTGCCATACTCATAACTTTTTCTCAAGAACGCTTTTCTCTTTCCTGCAGCTGGGGATGTAGACACTCCTCATACAATTGTGTTTAGTTATTTATTTTTAATGAATTTGGAAAAAAAAAAAAAAAGCTGGAATGACCAGCCTGGCATCTAAAATCCTAGGTACAATTGGTTAGCAGCTACAAACTACTATGCCATTGAGCCAGTCACCATACCCCAACCCTGATCAGCACCATCTACAAAAGTTTGTCGATACAGAAAACTTTTCCAGAATAGCTACTCCTGATTTGTTCAGAAACAAGAGAATCCATACATGGGGTTAGAGTGTGTTGTTCTGAATTAACTTAAACGAGTTTCGATGTAGATTGACTATTCCAGAATAGCTCTGTGTGGCTACGTCTAGACTGGCATGATTTTCCGGAAATGCTTTTAACGGAAAAGTTTTCCGTTAAAAGCATTTTCAGAACAGAGTGTCTAGATTGGCACAGACGCTTTTCTGCAAAAGCACTTTTTGAAGAGAAGCGTCCGTGGACAATCTAGACACGCTTTTCCACAAAAAAGCCCCGATTGCCATTTTCGCGATCGGGGCTTTTTTGCAGAAAACAAATCTGAGCTGTCTACACTGGCACTTTTGCCCGAATAGGAGAAGCATAGCATTTCCGCAAAAAGCACTGATTTCTTACAGTAGGAAGTCAGTGCTTTTGCAGAAATTCAAGCAGCCAGTGTAGACAGCTGGCAAGTTTTTCCGGGAAAGCGGCTGATTTTCCGGAAAAACTGTCCAGTCTAGACACAGCCTGTATGTTTTATTCCAAATTAGCTCAATCTGCTTTAAGTTCACAGCTTTACCTTGTTCTGGCTCCACTTTCATATACAGACAAGCCCTAAGTGTGAAGGTCTTCTACATTTTTTGCAACCATTCAGTTCTCAAACTCAGATCATATTGCAACGAAGAGTGATAGATACAATTTTTTTTTGCTCAACATGAACATCTCTCTGTCTGAGCAAATGAACTGTGACCATTTAGTTAATTCATATAAAACATCAACTCCTAATAGGACAGTAACAATTTTCAGTCACTACTTGTCTGGTCTGATTTGAACGGCAGGGGGACTAAAGATAGGTGGCTATTCGCTCCTGATATTTTATTAAGTTTCTTAAATTATCACTAGTATAACAGCACTAGAATTTATTGAAGAGGAACAGAAATGTCTCAGACAAACCTACATTTGCGGCTTCACAGCAATACTTCATTTCTCCTTTTTTTCCCCCCCAGCAATAGAATGGAGATTAAGTACAACTTGTAAAAAAGGTTTCAATCCACTCTGCCTTTTAAAATGCCCACTATAACTGACTATCATTTCTTATCTGAGAAAAAAATGACCATTTTATCTGTAAGATGAATTGGAGATAGTACAATGATCTATAGAGACTGAAACACTTGCATTTGCTTTATTTACAGCAACTGGTTTATGCTATAAATGAATTCTTTAACAAATTGAATAGGAATATACATGTTGCTAATTATTTATTTTTTGCATTAATATCTAATAGAAACTTTTTTACCTCTGACTGGAGTTTCTACATTTTGAAGCAAATTCTAAAAAAGAAAAAAAATAGTATTTATAATACAGAAGAGATGGAACACCAGCATTTGTTGATGTGGCATTTGTCAAGTACAGACAATTCACATGGGAACCACATGGAGTTAACCTGGTATTGGGGCAAAAGGAGAAAGCACAGCTCGGTGGTTTTTAAAGCTGGGTTGCAGGCCCACATGGGTAAGCTGCTGGCGGGCCCTGCAACGTTTTGTTGACCTAACTGTCCATAGCCATGGAGCCTTGCAGCTCCCATTGGCTGCGGTTCACCATTTTTAGCCACAAGAAGCTGTAAGAAGTGCAAGCCCTGGCCATGCCACTTCCCATGGCTCCCCTTGTCTGGAAATGGCAAACCAGAGGCAATGGGAGTTGCAAGGCTCCATGGCCATGGACCTTTTAGGTAAACAAATGGTACAGGCCCACCAGCAGCTTATCTGACTTTGAGAACCATTGGCATATTTCATGACAGGAACATACTGGATTGGGGCTGGATTCAGTTTGGTTCCCATCTGTATCACAAGTTTCATGTATAATGTTAGGCAAGTCATTTAGGGTACATCTATGCAGCCCACAGCAGTGAATCTCAGAGCCCAGGATGGCAGATTTGGCCTTGTAGAGCTTACCCCAAAATAGCTGTGTAGCTGCTGTGGTTCTGTCTGGAGCCTAGGGATCACAATATCCTCTTTCCCCTACCTTTTGTGTGTCTTGCTTATTTCTGTAGGCAGGCTCCAGAACTTTCACACAGCCTCACTAAGTTTTCAAAACAGTACCTAAAAGTTAGATTTCTAGCTAGATAGCTAAATCGGAAGCTTGGTTTTCTACAACCTTTGAGCAGGCAACAACTCTCCACTACCTTCGCTGACAGCTGCCTGGTGCTCAGATCATCTGGAAGATCAGACCAATTATTTATGTGCATCAATAACTTAATAGCTGACTCTTTAAAATTTAATTTTAACCAACTGTGCCACCGAGACCTCATTTGCAATAAGCACCTTTAATAAATTCATATTTATCAAGATACGATCAACGGATTGCTGGAGTATAAAAATGAAACACACATAATGCTTATGTAAATTTAATACTGTAGTATGGTATTCATTTGTTTTTTTATAGCACCCTGTTGGAACTTCTTGCAAACCAAAAGTCAGTTTTTCCCTTATATTCATTCATGCCTTTGCTGTTGATCAAGGAAGCCACACTTTAGTGGCCCTTGTGTTTAGTAGGGTCCCTTTAAAAGTGATAATTTATTCAAAGCTGACCTACAAGCCGTACTAGCACATATCCCGCTGGTTAGGCAGAACTGATCTAGCTAATATGAATGGAAGTTGATTGCTACTTGGAGGGAGAAAAAGCAAACTTGTTTGTGTCACTCTATCCAAGACTGTGACAAAGAAGAACTGAGACCTCGATTTTATTCTTCTACATTTTGTAAAGTAAATCTTTTTCTAACAGTTCTGATAATTTCCACATATTGTAGCCCATTTAATACATAATGGATGGTGTCTGTTCTAGCAGGATTTGTTTCCCAAGACCTTTTGTTAATCACAATAAAAGGAGAGTAGGAGAGAGGAATGAAAACAATAATTGTACAGCAGGATGTAGAATTTTCCTTGAATAGTTTTTTTAAAATTCCCAAGGTCAGGGAATTGTCTGGAAGACTGGATCAATCATTTAGTGACACGTGCCACCAGCTCATGCTGATGCCAGTTTCTTAATCTCCCAACCACAGTACAGGGGCTTTCATAGCAATGATGGTGGTTTAAATAATCACATGGAGTTGGAAGAAATGAAGGCACTGTTATATATAAATGTTGATGGCATAGATAGAAGCACAGCAAGATATGCAAAAATGCATTACCAAATGTAATTTACCTTGGAAGGAGCAAGCAGCAGTTTCCCTTAGGGGGTAGTGTGTGTAGGCTGCCTGCCAAATGGATGTGTAAAAAGTATTCCAAACAAAATCACAATACACAGTTCACTAGTCATCAGGAAATCATGAGAGAAAGGAATCAGAGATATGCCAGAATAACTGTTCTATTTCTTAATGTATGATCCAACAGCACAAGGAATGCAGCAAGCAGCTATTCAACATTCATTGAATAATAGCACCAAGTGCGTGCTTAATTGGAAAAAGGATGATCTTTAAACCAGCTACTTATCCTGATTTTAGTAGGCAGGGCCTTATTCCTAATGCCTCCCCACAGAAAACCTACACTACTTTGGCTGCTATCTTGATGGGTAGTACAGAAGCAAATGAACCCGACATATTAGACATATAAGTGATCTATAAAGCCCTCAGAACCAAAGGAGAAAAAAATGTGTTGCAAGTGGCCCAAAAACACTGCACTGTATTTTTATGGGGACACAACTCCTACTTATGACCTCAATCTGAGTTATGCTTGAATAAGGACTGGAGAAGTTAGCCCATCACCAGTATTCAAACTGCTGAATATTGATTCAGGCTACACATCTAAATATTGAGCTAGATATGATGAGATAAGTTATAGCTCCTGATTTATCCATACCTGGATATTACACACACACATCCACCCACCCACCATAGGACTTGAGTTACTACATATGCAACAAAATATTTGTCCGCTTTTATTATATTTATAATTCAGCTGCATCTGGGAGAGAAGCAGCTCTTTTTGCTGAAACCTGAACTTCTGAGGGGCTGCCCAAGCCTAATTGACTGTCCTAGCACTTGTTCCTGAAACAAGAAAAAAGCAGCAGCATTTGCTGGCACAGGAGCAATGTTGTGCTTGATTTCAGCTTCTTCTTTTTTTTGGTTTGGAAGTCAGATGTTAATCAGCTCTGTCTCATGAACAAGGGTAGGGAGTGTCAGTCAAGGTAATGGACAGTCTTCAAAAGAAGGTTTCAAGGGAAAATGAATTAATTTAGCTAACCAAGCCTAAAAGGAAATATTGATAGAGGAGAAATCTCGTCAACATTAAGCAACTTCTTTGTAAAGTTTGCATCAATGTAGATGTTATAGTCAGGGCCGAAGAGAAATCATTTTATAAGAAGAAAATCTACAATACTTTTTTTAAATGTTCATACTAGGCCGTATCAGATGACTAAACACCAATATCATTATCTTCTGTCATTTATTGCTTGCTTTACAGTGGCACCTAGGCATCCTGGCTTAGATTGGACTTCATGATAAGTGCATGCAAAAAATAAGAGGCATCTCTTGCCCTGAAGAACTTACAATTTAATAAAACAAGACCGAAAAAGTATTATTATTATTGTGCCTATTTTCAGTATATGGAACTTGGGCACAGAGAGATTGTGTTACATTGGCAAATCAGTTTATGATTCGGGTTCTCTCATGTAAGTGCTGATCACTAACCAGTCCATTTACTTGTACAATAATGACAACTTGATCTGCAGGGACAAACCAGTTTACAGTTTTATGGGATAATGTACTCACACCAAAAGCAGAGACCAAGCTTTCAATGAATTTCATTTAGAGTATGTGTACACTGCAGATGTTACCCTAGAAAAGGGGGCTATATTATAGTTTGGTTCAGTGGGTTCCATTTTGAAAGAGACAGGTCCTTTTCTCTACATGATGTAGGTTTTCCTGCTCAAACTGTTAATTGGCACACGGTACTACCTTGTGCACCCCTCTCAAACAGGCTGTGCACCCGTTACTATCTGGTGCACTCAGCACCAAAACCGCTGCACACAGCCCCTAGGAAGCTGCACTCAACACCTAGGTTCATTAGCATACTTTTCCCGCCTCTGGGCTAATAAAAGCCCTGAGGTATCAAGGGCTCGGGTCCTTGGATATTCTCCAGCCTTGGATCTACTCATTTGTTGCTCCTCTGTATTGTTTGCCTGAAGCTTGGATACCATCTATGTAATCAGAGGCCTGGACTTTTGAACTGTGCTACCCTTGTGTGGTAAATACCCACAAGGTTTTCCTGTTTGCATTGGTCACTGGAACCGAGATTCTCTTTTCCTATCATCTTCATTGGATTACCCACCTACTGGATCAGACGGTGTTGTCGAAGGACAGATCAGACTGTGTCCAGAGGGGATTCCTTTCCAGATCGAGGATCCATATCGGGGTCGTCTCTTCACAGAGGACTCACTACCACGGGATCTCCCTGCTTGTCCTCCCCAGAGGCTTACAAATAGCCCGAGGGTTGAAGGTTGCAGGCATCGATCGCCTCAGGCTTTGTATATACCTTATGTATCTAGGGAAATGTTCTATCTCCTTTCTTCAGGTTAGGGAGGGTTGGTTTGTTGAAACTTGCTGTTAACTGTATATCTGTTCCACTATTCTACTCAAATACATGGTTTGGCCCTAAATTGTGTATGCCTGATTTGTGGCTAGAGATCCACCGGTGATTAGATACGGCTCTCAGGTCGGATCTTTCTTCTGAGTAGGGACTCCTTCTCCCCATTTTATATCCACACCATTGGCCACTTTTATTCTAAATTGCTTGTCCACGTCCCTAGGGCAACACAGAGTTTGATCTGAGGAAGTGGGTCTGGCCCACGAAAGCTCATCACCTATTAAACCATCTTGTTAAAGTGCTACACAGTCCTGTTTTTTGTTTCAGCTGCACCAGACTAACATGGCTACATTTCTACCACTAGACTTATGTGCACACTGCTATTGAGTTTTCACCGAAGTCGAAAGACCAGACGGGTTTTTACGACAGCAGTAAACCTCTTTCTATGAGGAAGAAGCCTTTTTCCAAAAAAGCTTTTTGGAAAAGGGTGTGTATGGATGCAGAAGACAGTGTTTTTTCAAAAGAAGAGGCCTCCAGGAAAAAGCATAGGTAACCTACTGGCTACTCCGTCCACAGTAATCACAACTGAAATAGGAGATGGCATCCAATCAAAGTGGATGCTATCTTTCAAAAAAGCAGTTAGTTTTTTCTTTGCACTTTTGCTGTGTAGATGCTCTCTCGAAAAAAAGTTTTTACAGATCTCTTCCGGAAAAGCTTTTTCCGAAAGAAGTTTGCAGTCTAGACGTAGCCTTAGTAACAGAAACTCGAGACTCATGTAAGAAGACCTGCAATCAGTGTCCTCCCTTCATCTCCTTACTCACTGCTGCATTTAAGATGCAATTTATTGATTAGAGGTGTCCAAGGCAGGCCGTGATGTGGATATTTCTGTCTCTGATTTCAAACAGAATGTCTGAAAATGGGTTGTGATAAGTCAGGCAAGCCTGACCAAATCTGAATGTAGGTTGCTTCTTACGATATGGATTCAAGAGAGCTGATGAAATAAAAGGGAAAGTGACTTTCATAATCAGAATCTTCCTTCATCTGGAGGGAATCCATTTCCCAACTCAGTACCAATTTGAAAGAATCAGTCTCTGTCAATTTCCTTTTTATACTTTTTAATTCATTTCTAAAGGACAAATTATCCCACAATTAGCCCTTTTCGAAGAATAAGCAGATGGCTGAGGAATCCAGTTAAGAGCATGGCACTGAAGAAGATACTCTGCTTAGAGAGAAGATTGTCCCAGAGGACAGTAGATGGAACCTACAGATGAAAGTCAATGTCTTGTCATAAAATGCTGCTGTTACTTTTATTTATTTCTCTACCAAGTTTGTTGTCCGAAATAGCAGAGGAATGTTCTTGTGAATATTTTTATTTAAATTAACTCAACACGAGAGAATGTGTGGTATTTCACAGACCCATTTAAATAGGAGAGTCCACCTGACACAGATTGAAACACATATCAGTGAAGTGCCATTCATTCACTTAACAAAAATGAACAGTGAACCAGAAGGAATTCTAGGGAAAAAATTAAAGGAAACCAAATCGTCTGATTTACTGTGAGAAAACTGAGCTATCTGATTTTATGACACATTTGAAAAGGACTAACCAGAGGGCTAGGAAATAAGATTTTCTGTGTTCAAATTCCAGGTTGTCTACTAATTCACTATGTACGCTTTGGTAAGTTCATTTCACCTCAGCTTCAGGTTTACTCAGATAAAAATACCTGGAGAGACTTATGATTTTACTGGGGTTTGAAGGTGTGACAGAGCTTTACATTACAGGCAGTCCCCGACTTACGTGGATCCGACTTACGTCGGATCCCTAGATACGAACGGGGTGAGGCAACTCCCGCACATGCGCAGCAGCATTCCCGGGGCTCGCTCACCTGGGTCCTAGGATCCTCCTTCTCCTCGGGCCGGCTCCGACTGGGGTCCCGCAGAGCTGCCGGGCAGAGGAAAAGTGCCTCCCCATGCCCGCTGCCCCCCCCACCCCTCTGCCAGCAACAGGCTGCCGAACAGACAAAAGCAGCCTCTCTGCCCCTCCTCCCCTCTATACATGCCGGGCTCCCGGAGCGCAGCAGCGTCCCCAGGGCTCGCTCACCTGGGTCCTAGAATCCACCTCCTCCTCCTCTTCGGCCGGCTCCAACTGGTCTCTGCCTGCAGCAGCTGGCCACAGGGACAGGGATCCCGCAGAGCTGCCGGGCAGAGGAAAAGTGCCTCCCCACGCCCCCTGCCCCCC